GCAAGCTCCAACGCTCGATTTATGGGCTGGTGCAAGCATCTCGGAGTTGGAACATTCGTTTTAATGAGATGATCAAAGCGTTTGGGTTTACGCAGACTTATGGAGAAGCCTGCATTTACAAGAAAGTGAGTGGGAGCTCTGTAGCATTTCTCATATTGTATGTGGATGACATACTGTTGATGGGAAATGATATATATTTCTTGGAAAGCATAAAGGCCTACTTGAACAAGTGTTTTTCAATGAAGGATCTTGGAGAAGCTGCTTACATATTAGGCATCAAGATCTATAGAGATAGATCGAGACGCCTCATTGGTCTTTCACAGAGTATGTACCTTGACAAGATATTGAAGAAGTTCAATATGGATCAGTCAAAGAAGGGGTTCTTGCCTGTATTGCAAGGTATGAGATTGAGCACGGCTCAATGCCCGACCACGGCAGAAGATAGAGAAAAGATGAGTGTCGTCCCCTATGCCTCGGCCATAGGGTCTATCATGTATGCTATGTTGTGTACCAGACCTGATGTAAACCTTGCCGTAAGTTTGGTAGGAAGGTACCAAAGTAATCCCGGCATGGAACACTGGACAGCGGTCAAGAATATCCTGAAGTACCTGAAGAGGACTAAGGATATGTTTCTCGTTTATGGAGGTGACGAAGAGCTCGTCGTAAAGGGTTACGTCGATGCTAGCTTCGACATAGATCTGGATGACTCTAAGTCACAAATCGGATACGTGTATATTTTGAATGGTGGGGCAGTAAGCTGGTGCAGTTGCAAGCAAAGCGTTGTGGCGGGATCTACATGTGAAGCGGAGTACATGGCAGCCTCGGAGGCAGCACAAGAGGCAATCTGGGTGAAGGAGTTCATTACCGACCTAGGAGTCATACCCAATGCGTCGGGCCCGATGACTCTCTTCTGTGACAACACTGGAGCTATTGCCCTTGCCAAGGAGCCCAGGTTTCATAGGAAGACCAGGCATATCAAGCGTCGCTTCAACTCCATTCGTGAAAGTGTTCAAAATGGAGATATAGATATTTGTAAAGTACATACGGACCTGAATGTGGCAGATCCGTTGACTAAACCTCTCCCTCGAGCAAAACATGATCAACACCAGAACTACATGGGTGTTTGATTCATCACAATGTAACTAGACTATTGACTCTAGTGCAAGTGGGAGACTGTTGGAAATATGCCCTAGAGGCAATAATAAAATGGTTATTATTATATTTCTTTGTTCATGATAATTGTCTATTGTTCATGCTATAATTGTGTTATCCGGAAATCGTAATACATGTGTGAATACATAGACCACAACACGTCCCTAGTGAGCCTCTAGTTGACTAGCTCGTTGATCAAAAGATAGTCATGGTTTCCGGACTATGGACATTGGATGTCATTGATAACGGGATCACATCATTAGGAGAATGATGTGATGGACAAGACCCAATCCTAAGCATAGCTCAAAGATCGTGTAGTTCGTTTGCTATAGCTTTTCCGAATGTCAAGTATCATTTCCTTAGACCATGAGATTGTGCAACTCCCGGATACCGTAGGAGTGCTTTGGGTGTGCCAAACGTCACAACATAACTGGGTGACTATAAAGGTACACTACGGGTATCTCCGAAAGTGTCTATTGGGTTGGCACGAATCGAGACTGGGATTTGTCACTTCGTATGACGGAGAGGTATCTCTGGGCCCACTCGGTAATGCATCATCATAATGAGCTCAATGTGACCAAGTGGTTGATCACGGGATCATGCATTACGGTACGAGTAAAGTGACTTGCCGGTAACGAGATTGAACAAGGTATTGGGATACAGACGATCGAGTCTCGGGCAAGTAGCGTACCGATTGACAAAGGGAATTGTATACGGATTGATTGAATCCTCGACATCATGGTTCATCCGATGAGATCATCGAGGAGCATGTGGGAGCCAGCATGGGTATCCAGATCCCGCTGTTGGTTATTGACCGGAGAGTCGTCTCAGTCATGTCTGTGTGTCTCCCGAACCCGTAGGGTCTACACACTTAAGGTTCGGTGACGCTAGGGTTGTTGAGATATTAGTACACGGTAACCCGAAAGTTGTTCAGAGTCCCGGATGAGATCCCGGACGTCACGAGGAGTTCCAGAATGGTCCGGAGGTGAAGATTTATATATAGGAAGTCAAGTTTCGGCCATCGGGAAAGTTTCGGGGGTAATCGGTATTGTACCGGGACCACCGGAAGGGTCCCGGGGGTCCACCGGGTGGGGCCACCTATCCCGGAGGGCCCCATGGGCTGAAGTGGGAGGGGAACCAGCCCCTAGTGGGCTGGTGCGCCCCCCATGGGCCTCCCCCTGCGCCTAGGGTTGGAAACCCTAGGGATGGGGGCGCCCCACTTTGCTTGGGGGGCACTCCACCCCCTTGGCCGCCGCCCCCCTTGGAGATTCAATCTCCTAGGGCCGGCGCCCCCCCTAGGGGTCCTATATATAGTGGGGGAGAGGGAGGGCAGCTGCACCCTAGCCCCTGGCGCCTCCCTCTCCCTCCCGTGACACTCCTCCCTCTCCCTGAGCTTGGCGAAGCCCTGCCGAGATCACCGTTGCTTCCACCACCACGCCGTCGTGCTGCTGGATCTTCATCAACTTCTCCTTCCCCCTTGCTGGATCAAGTTGGAGGAGACGTCTTCCCAACTGTACGTGTGTTGAACGTGGAGGTGCCGTCCGTTCGACGCTAGGTCATCGGTGATTTGGATCACGACGAGTACGACTCCATCAACCCCGTTCTCTTGAACGCTTCCGCGCGCGATCTACAAGGGTATGTAGATGCACTCCCCTCTCCCTCGTTGCTAGATGACTCCATAGATTGATCTTGGTGATGCGTAGAATTTTTTTAAAATTCTGCTACGTTCCCCAACACTTTCCAGAAAGGTGAAGCACCAGCAGAAGGGCAAGTAAAGATGTTAGGGGACTGGGTGTCATACTTAGCATCTATTATGCTTTTCCAGATCTTACCCTCATCTCTATTATATCTGCTGACCCAAGAAGCAAGCAAACATAAGTTCATATCAGAGAGATCAGTAATCCCTAACCCCCCATACATCTTTTTCATAGTAAGAGACCCCCAACTAGCAAGGTGATATTTGTGATGACCTTCATAGTCATCCCAAAAACAATGTGCCAGTTGAGAGTTAATAAGCTTAATAGCCCACTTGGGGAATTTAATATACCCCATAAGATAAGAAGGGATGCTGGCTAGGCAAGCTTGCACCAGAATCAACCTCTTACCAAAGGATAGCAGCCTCCCCCTCCAGCCAGCTGCTCTTTTAATAATAGAGTCAACCAAAGGCTGGAGGTCCTCTCTTCTAATTTTAGAGTAGTGGAGGGGAGCACCCAGATATTTAATGGGAAAAGAACTTAGCTTACAACCCAAAGACTGAGCAAAACTAGTAGCCTCATCCCTATCAATATTAATAGGAACCAGATCACATTTATGAAAGTTGATCCTCATTCCAGAAAGTTGCTCAAAACAAGAAAGGAGCCAATTTAAATTCCTAGCATGCTCTAAATTCTTATCTAAAAACAGGAGGGTATCATCAGCATATTGCATACTTATGACCCCAGCTGGCTTAGAAGGAGGAAAACCCCCAGCAATCATGTTCTGATTAGCAGCTTTGGCTAGTATTCTAGTGAACACATCAGCAGCAAGATTAAAAAGCAAGGGTGAGGCAGGATCACCCTGCCTCACACCTTTACCTGCAATAAAAGACTCACTATTGGTGTCATTAATTCTGACCCCAACAGACCCATTGTGAAGCAGAGAGCCTAATTTGTACATCCATTTAGGGCCAAAACCTCTCCTTCTAAGAATGTCCAAAAGGAACTCTCTATTCACCATGTCATAAGCTTTTTCATAATCTAACTTAAAACAAAATCCCTGGAGATGGTTGCTAGCTACAGCAGGCACCACCTCATGGGCTGAAACAATACTCTCCAATATAAACCTGCCTTTAATAAAAAAACAGTTTGATTAGGAGAGATTAAATCATTGCAAACTGGGCCTAGCTTATTAGCAGCACATTTTGCAAAGATCTTGAAACTACAGTTAATCATGGTAAGGGGTCTAAACCTGTCCAAGGAAACAACATTTGGTTCCTTTAGGACAAGGGTCAGAAGGGAGAAGTTGAGCCTGTACAAATCTAGCTCCCCCTTCTCTCAATCTCTAAAAAGTGCAAACAAATCACTTTTAATGAGATCCCAAAAATGCTGATAAAATAAAAAAGGGAAACCATCAGGTCCAGGAGCACCTTCAGCATATGAGCCAAAAACTGCATTCTTAATTTCTTCCTCAGTAAAAGGGTTTTCCAAGAACTCAATATGATCAGCAGTACCCATGCTAGACTGATCACGCCGCACAAGATCTAGGCCAATTAGCAGGGATGTAGGCACGCAGCGGCAACACCATTGCTAGTGGCTGACTGAGTGGTACCGTGACATTACCACATTGCCCGTGAACGAGAATTGAGAAGGAAAATGTATATTTTACTGCATTTATGTATATTGTAAATTTGTAATCTAGATTTTGCGTTATATTTTTAGTATGCTTTTAAGTTTGTCCTTGTCCCACTTTAAATTTTCTCTGTAAAGAAAATCCCTCAAGAAAAGGGTCAACAATTACGGAACAGACCCCGCAAATAAAAGATTACGGAATAGGCACTCCTTAACGAGGGCTGGTTCACGCCGTTGGGGGTTAGCCAGATAGGGATGCCACGACGGCCTGCCCACGAGGCGTGTGCAGGGTCCGGACGCAACTTCTTGCCGGGCCACCATTTTCTTCCTGACTCTTCACTTCTTCAGTTTGTGTGTTCTCTTCATTCTTCACGGCTTCGCCCTCAGACCTCGCTGCTTCTTCTACCCGGAGAAGCTTCTAGAAACACCATCTCCGATCCATCAGCCCAGCCAGGCCTACCTGCTGGTGGAAGTCGACACGGCGTGCTGTTCCGTGCCGCTTCCTTAGCGGTCGCGCGAAGGATGCTGGCGTCCAGGGTCTGGTCTAGGTCCGCGCCGCAGTCCTCGCGCGCTTTGGCTTCCGCAGCGGCCTCGGCGGCGAGGTCCCTTCTACTGAGGTCCGGCATGCAGCTCTCCCGGGCTCCTCCCGGTCTCGCAGAGCGGCCCTGCGCCCGGATAGCTGAGGCTGATGCGCCGCCGCTGTGCTCTTCTTCAGGCCATTCACGGTGAGCGTGGTTTGGTCTTCATATGCAATTGAACGTATGTGCATTCACTTTGAAGCTGAAATTTGTTCATTCATGCGTGCACCGACCGGGATTCAGATTTCAGAACTTTGAGCTGGAAGAATCTGAATATAATCTGATAATGCCATCGAAGGAATTCAGTTTGAACCTCATTTGTTAAACATCAGCGTGTATGACATTTTGAGAATTCTGATTCGCTGAATCATAGATTAATTCACCGTCTCCAGGGAATGATGATTACTGAATTTCCTACTTCCATCATGCAAAGATTTGTTACCCAATAATTCGGCCCCCCTTTCTTTCGTAATTACTTACTCGGGCTAAATTTCTATGTTGTCATAGAGGAGAACATGCCTGCAGAAGACGCACATATCAAAGACATCCAGTGTCTAATCGAGCCACGCCTGTCGGAGGGAACCGTCATGTTCTTTATGCAAGTTATCTTTCACAGAACCAACAGAACTACAGATCTTTTTCGGCTTCGTCCGACCAAGAGAGGATAGAAGCTGCAAACAGGGTGTGTAATTGTATTTATACCCGTATCTGTTAGCTTTGCCATCCTGGATAAATTCTGAGATCATCTCAATGTGTGTTACTAGCATGCCTCTATGAATAAACTTGGCGTCTTCATCCCAGGAATTGCAATCATTATTACGATCCGAAGTTCTCCTTTACATTAACTGGAGTTAACATTTTTTTTTAGTTCCAGATAATACATGGTCTGCCAAGGTGTGTGAAAATTGTAGAAGTTGGGCCTCGAGATGGACTGCAGAACGAAAAAAATACAGTGCCAACACCTGTAAAGATTGAGCTCATAAAGAGATTGGCAACCTCTGGATTATCAGTTGTTGAGGCAACAAGTTTTGTCTCCCCAAAATGGGTGCCACAGGTAAAATTCTTAATATTTTTCCCCGTAAGCAGGTGACTAAGATTACCAATTTGATTCTTATGCATATGTGACGGGAGTTGTGTAACTCTGAAGATCTCTGTTACCCAGTTTTATTTCCTTTGATATCTATATGATTTCCATGTTCTGACAGAACTTTGCCATCTATTCATTTATCTCTATCTCTACTTCTCTACTCCTATAAAAAACTCAGTTGGTGATGATTGTGTGTCTGCCATCCGTCATTTCTGACCATCGGATCTGCATCTAACGACTGTGATGTAAGCTGTGGCATTTTTTGCAGCAAGACCCCACTTCTCTGCTCCAATTTGCAGAAACCCCTTAGGGCTAATTTGGTTGTTAGGGATGAAACACCCAGGGAAATAAGCGCCTAGGTGGAGTTTCCCATGGCACAAGGGATCCATGGGAGAGATCGTCCCAGGTGGGAAAACGTACCTTCTGCTATTTGGACACCACAGGGAAGGAGCACGGTCGTTGCCCCCAGCACCATCACCTCTCTGTCGCGAAACCAGAGCGAGCGAGGGTTTCTTTCCCGATCTCGTGACTAGAGGAAATCCCTCCCAGGGAAGGGCCGTGGAAAGGGCCAGGGTCCCTCCCCATCTGGACAACCAAATGGCCCGGTCAGCTCCCCGAGGTCAATTTCGGCCCGCGGTTTCTTCGGCCGGGGAAAGGGCCGGGATCCCCTCGGGATCCCTTGCATCCAAATTAGCCCTTAGTATCTTGAAACCAACCACATCCCTCCCCCACCTCATCAAAAAAGCCACGAGGAATATATTTTAAGCTATGTTTTTAAGGCGACGCCTTGCTTTAAGGCGCTGGGGGGGCGCTTCGACGCCTAGGCGACGCCTAGGCGCCTAAAGCGGACGCCTAGGCGCCTAAAGCGCAAAGCGCTGGGGGGGCGCCTCGACGCCTAGGCGTCGCCTAGGCGTCGCCTTACGGACGCCTTTAAAACATAGATTTTAAGTGAAACCTAATACGAGTATAATTTTAGTGATATACATACCAAAATTAGATTGTTTTTCTTTCAAGTTTGTGAACATGTATTATTCTACTTTGGATCCGTTGCAACGCATGGGCACATTGCTAGTATAAAATAAATTTGCTGCTTGTTACGTTGACAAAGACTGCAGAATTATGGAACAACGGTAGTTTATAGTCCCATTGCTCATTACCATGATACTCTTGTGTCCATAATTCCACATATTACTCCCTCCGTTCCTAAATATTTGTCTTTCTAGACATTTCAAATGACTACTACATACGGATGTATGTAGACATATTTTAGAGTGTAGATTCACTCATTTTGCTCCGTATGTAGTCACTTGTTGAAATGCCTAGAAAGACAAGTATTTAGGAACGGAGGGAGTACAATACAGTAGCTTTCAACACCGGCATAAATTGCATCATTCACTGAAGTCATTTGCACTCTACGGGAATGAGAACATAACCATACTCTTAATTGGAGCTTCACCACCATGAAACTTTTTAGGTTTTAAAATATGACATATGGTGTTTAGCCCGGGAACCTGCAGAGCCCAACAAGGGTTGTGTTATTGTTTAAATGTTAGAGTGGAGTGTCGCATGGGCCATGACCCATGAGTGGTATAGTGGATTGCCGAACCTCTCGATCTTCTCATTGGAGATTCATAACAAAGTTTCCTCCTACTTCGAATGAAGAATGGTTCTGACGCAAATGTTGGATTTCTCCAAATTGTTTACCTCTGTATTTATATTGCAATCTAGATATTGGCAGTGTGGTCTGGGTGAAGTTGATTGTCCGACATGGAGGGAAATGGAACAAATACGGTGCACAAGCTCTAAACCTGTGAATAAGTATAGTTCTGAACTGTTATTGACATTTGAAAATTGGTTTTTTTACTGCGTATTCAAATGATCCTTGCTATTAAGATTCAGACACAGTGTTGATACATTGCCCAGTGCCACAAATAACATTTTCTTATTGAAACAAGAACTGAAATGTGTCTCTGGATAACATTATGCCAGACTTGAGTCGCCATCCTTAATTGTTTCCGGCAGGAATACTACCTAGCAATGAAGCAAGGAAATAAAATTTGTACAGGAGTGCCTATTGCCTAATACTATGATGTCATCTTAGTCCAAATAAATAGCATTCTGTTGTAGTCTAACTGAAAACTTATCATGTGACGAAAAAAAAATGTTTGCGAAATCTTGTGGTCTTGAATGCATGTGGCTTGCCTGCTTCTTAAGTCTTCTGCTAGCTCAGCTCACCCTACTTTATCAAAGTATACTTTCCGTTTTGCTTGTCCGTTAGTTCATTTGCCTATCATGAACTCCCTCTGTAAAGAAATATAAGAGCGTTTAGATCACTAAGTAGTGATCTAAACGCTCTTATATTTCTTTACAGAGGGAGTATTTGACATCCCATTGCTGAATGATACGATATTGAATAATTGTAGCTAGCTGATGCGAGGGATGTTATGGAAGTGGTTCGGAATATTACGGGTGTAAGCTTTCTTGTATTGACCCCAAACCTTAAGGTAAATCATTTTTAATCAGGTGGGTTTTATATTTGTTAGCTTACCCCATTTAATAACCAGTCCTGTTCATTTATCATCAGGGATTTGAAGCAGCAGCTGCAGCAGGTGCCAAAGAAGTTGCAATATTTGCGTCAGCTTCTGAAGCATTTTCAAAGTCAAACATAAACTGTTCAATTAAAGAGAGCCTTGTTCGCTATAATGATGTTGCTCTTGCAGCAAAAAAGCGAGAAATTCCTGTACGAGGGTAAGTTATTTTATTTTCCAGCCTTTTGAACTCCAGTTTTCCAGTGTGACATGTGTTAATATTGTGTTGCTCTATTATGCAACAATGTAGGTATGTTTCTTGTGTGGTTGGATGCCCAGTAGAAGGATCAGTACCACCTTCAAATGTAGCTTATGTTGCCAAAGAGCTTTATGACATGGGCTGCTACGAGGTTTCGCTTGGTGATACGATTGGAGTAGGTACCCCAGGTGATCTTGCATTATTTGCTACCCACAATTTTTAAGTATGCCATAGCTAGATTTTGCTTGCTACTATTGGGCTTCAGTTTGTTACATCCATTAGGCAAAGGATATTATCTGGCACGTGCCAGTTTGACACCAAGGTCCTCACTGTCATCCTGGAGCCTTGGCATATTTGGCATGATTTGTTTCTCATGTTGCCTTCAAACAAATGTTGAATTTTCTTGTCTTCAAATAATGGAAGAAAACTGTTCCTAGTTGTATACCAGTGTCGTTTGGGAAAACATTGATTGCCCATCACCAGGTTCAGTAAATTTTAACTCCTCTTAATGTCAGATTGTGTTTAATTATCTAGATAAACCCACCTTCGCTTCATGAAAATTTCAATTAACATGTAGCTTCTTTGATATATTCAGGCACAGTTGTACCAATGCTTGAGGCAGTTATGTCCGTCGTTCCCGTGGAAAAGCTTGCTGTCCATTTCCACGACACCTACGGGCAGTCTCTTTCAAACATCCTCGTCTCTCTCCAGGTAATCATCTACTGAGATACTGAACAAACCATCACGCAAAAAACAAAATGGTGATTCAGATCTTATCATCTGACACTTGTATGTGATCAACCATGTTCTTTGCTCGACCAGATGGGTATTAGTGTCGTGGACTCCTCCGTTGCGGGCCTTGGTGGCTGCCCATATGCAAAGGGCGCATCAGGGAATGTTGCTACTGAGGACGTAGTGTACATGCTGAATGGGTTGGGGATCAAGACAGGCGTCGATCTAAGCAAGGTGATCTCAGCCGGCGAGTTCATCTGCAAGCATCTGGGGCGCCAGTCTGGGTCCAAGGCAGCTACTGCCTTGAGCAAGGTTACCGCGAGCGTCTCAAAGCTATGAGGCTGCTCTTAGTGCTGTTACTCTGTAACATCTTAATGTTGTGCCCGTTTATCGTATGTCGTGATCCCCTGTTGCACAAGATACATGTACAGTACCAATACAGAAAGTACGTAAATGAATAAATGGTGCATTTGATGTTTTGCCACAAAAAAGGACATTTGAAGCCACTTTCATTTCTCCTGGATAATTCAGCTGTTAAACCTGTTGTACACTATGTAACACACACATGCATATGACGTGTGCAACTAAATATAAGTTTCCAAGAGACAAAAAGGGTAGATGGCCATACTTTCAAAGATGTGCAAAATTGATCACATCAATTAAATCAGTACAATTGTCTCACTTCTCAGCCGCCAAAAGTTAACAATATTCATGGTCAATGTACACTAGCTTGTTAAACTCTACGGTAGATCAATAATGCCTCCGTGAAGTGAGTTAAGAACTTAAGATCTCTCTCGAGTTACTATGTATTACATCTGTACCAAAATAGAAGACGTTTTTGTACTTCAATTTGAACTGCAAAAACGTCTTATATTTTGATATGGAGGTAGTACATGATAGGGCTCCTGTGAATAACCAAATTATTTACAGCAATTGTCAATACCAACTAATAATTACTGACGATTCAATCAGGCATCCCTGTCAATGCCAAGTTGGTTTCTTGCTTCAGCACTCTTTGTGTTTTGCTGAACTTCTCTGATGGTAGCACGAGTCCTTTTCCATAGGCCGCTAACAGAAGAGCCTCTGCTCGCCCTGCATCAGTGTCAAAACATCAATGAACTGAAGAAAACGCGTTATCATCTACTCATTTTCCAGCGGGTCATTCAATTAAATAGATTAAGCTAACTATACTAGCCAAAACATATTTAGCTGGTCTGTGAGGAATATCCGAATATGTGTAATTAGTTTGTTTGCTCAGTGCACCTTGAAAGCAAGACAAGAAATACACAGAGAGCACATCATGTGTACATCATGTTTATTCATACGCATATGTCAGTGTCTACAATTGATCAGCTCGAACTAGAATGTTGTGACAAAATAATTCATTTACTGACTTATTGTTGTGACTTGGAAAATTGTAAGATGCGTACCGTGATGTTTCTTCAACTTGAGGGACAGAGCCTTATCCGGGAACAAGATTGTTGCAGCTCGTCTGCTATCGTCCTGACAGACGTAGAAGGGTCATAAGATAACTATTATGATGCGGTGCTAATTAAGAAACATGTAATGAAATTGGTGTCATGTTAAGTCTACAATTAGTAGAACAACACACAAGATCTAGCAACAAACATTCAGATGAGGAGAGAGAAATGCTCACTAAAATGAAATAACATCTATGCATTACCACAGTAGCAATCAATTGGTTGAACTCAGATTTGATTCATTACTGCCATCAGCTTAGAACATAGCACCCCAACCTAATCCAATGATATCTAAAGCCCAACCCAGATTTCTTCACTCTAAACCATTCAAAAAACTGAAACAATTCAGTTGTGAACTTATATTGAGAGGTCTCCTGGGTTGCAATGATCGGCGCACATGACCACGAACCCACCGACACGGTTTCAAGAACTCACCACACTGGCCCTGTTTCAAGGACTCAATACTTACCCTGTTATCTATTTTTTTACTACACAACCTTAATTACATCAATGAAAATAGCAAAGATTGGGCATCTTTATTGAAATGCCATAATTAAGCTTGTTAAGTTCTTACCAATAAACAGAAAAAATTTCTACCAGTTTTCTGTAAATGAGAAGGCATATAAGGATGTTTGTGGCTCGGGCGGTTTGCTTTATATATAAAGCGGGGCGAAAGCCTTTTTCGGTATAAGAAGAGTAACAAACCTTAGGTGATGCACTTCGAGTTAGCCCAAAGTACGATTTCCATGTCTGTGATGCAACCGGTACAACAGAAAACTCAGATGCCACTAGAGCAGCAATCCACAAGCCATACGAAAAACCTGTACTCCACCATCCCTAAATATACATCATAAAACAGAAGGCAAGAAGTCACTAACAGAACCTACATTACGCCACATGTTTCACATGAAATTTAAACAGTCATATGGTGTGAACTAGATTCTATCAAGTTCAAATTGCGAACTGAGTTTGAACTAGATCACACTGCTTAGAGTACAACTCTAGCCTCAACTTGTGTGTGGAACATCTTCAGAGGCACATGATCTCAAGAAGCACACAATGTCAGTTCTATTACCACCAATCTACTGCAAAATGTTATGCACCGAGACAGTAATAAGTTGCAAGTGAGCAATGTAATCCTCAACTATTCTTATTATAGGGACTATCCAATGGCATGACTTCTCTAAGTATTGATGCATAAAACATAAGTTCATTGTAATGCTTATGCAAATGTTTCCATTGACTGGCAAAAATATGAGGAAAGCAAGAGACCGACCAGCTTTCCATCAGTTGGAAATGGACTTGACTTTTCAATAAATGCTGTAGTTCCTGCAAGAAAACAAAGACACCACAATATCAGAGTCAGACACCAGCAACGGTTACTGAACATAACTAACTGCCTTGTGCTCAACACACAAGGAAGGCTTAAGTCCTCCAATACCCCAGATAGGAGTGTACAACTACACTCTCGTGTGCGGTGTGCCCATACCTGGAGGCGCATCAAGGCCACGGAGAAGCTGTATGATGGACCTGGTGTCTAGGCGCTTCCGGGTGAGCTCCGACACCATTATGTTCACGAACGGGTTATCGAACACCTACAGGACGTGAAAACGTGAATGAATGCTTAAGCACACCTGTCAACGCGAAATGCGAGTTTCGGGCCGCACCTGAGAGGAGCCGTCGGGTGAGAGAACGGCGATGGCGCCGCGAGTGTCTGGATCGATCCCAATCGCCCAGCCGGTGGGGGCGGGGGCGGCGGCGGCGTCGCTGCCGTCGGCGGGGAGCAGGGAGAGGGAGGCGAGCCAGGGGTCCACAGCCCCCGCGTCCGCCAGGAGCTTGGCCTTGGCCCTGGAGCGGGACTTCGCGGGCAGCGCCGCAACAGGAGGGAGCAAGACACGTCGGTGGCAGCGGCGTGAGCGGAAGGGCGGGGAGAAGAAGGCCGCGGCAGCGTCCCAACGGAGGGTGGAGCGGCGGAGGGCGGTGGAGCGGAGGGCGTTCATGGGGTGGACGGCGTGATGCGTAGCTGGCGCAGCGGCGGCCGATGCAGCACCGGCAGCTGCTGCTGCCATAGTTCGAAGCAACAGGAGGCGGAATGGGAGGGGAGGGTTTTTGTTGTTCCGCTCGGGGGATAACGCGTCCGTACGGACGGGCCGAGACGAGACCAGCTACTACTGGTATTTTCAGAGTCTTTTTTTTTCAGGAAATTATGAGAGCTTTATTCGAACAAAAGGGTTCGCTGAGCAATCAGCCCGAAGGATACCGATCAGGAAGCTAAGAGTCTCCAGCGCTGGACCATTGGCTGACCGCAATACATGTTAAATTATAAAGAAATCAAAACTATTGGCTAGCTCTCTTTTTTCTGAAAAATAGATGCCACTACTGAACGAGAGTTGTGACGAGTGTTTTATAGGTTCACCACTTCCATGCAATCGGTCTCAGTGACCACTTTGTTGAATCCTCGAAGTGCTGCAAAAATAACTCCTTCTTGAATAGAAGTTGCTTCCGCTATCAAGGGATTTGTAACATCAGGCAATGGCTTACTCCAGGCTCCCATAAATGAGTTGTGGGACCTGGCGATACCCCTTGCACCATCCAGACTCCATCTCTGTCAATAGTTATATCAGTATTTATCTTGACAATATCATGTTCGGGCGGGCGCCACCCATGACCCGACAGCACCAACGCATGTTGTCGAGGTATATCCAAAAGAGCCAGAACTTCTCTTGTCAATCCTACAGACTTTATCGGGTCAATCTTCTCCTTATCATGGGTCCATCGATTCCGGGAATGCTATATGGACCACATCACCGTAATGATAGTGGCTCGTTCTTCTTTTGAAAACATGTGATCACAAGAAATGTCTCTCGCCCAAGTGTTTGGGTGAAGGCGTCGTAATTTTATGTCCATCAACATAGGTGCCTCCTCCCAAAAACACTCAGCATGCGAATAATGAATAAGAGCATGCTCTAAATCCTCATCCGTCGCTTGACAAATTTTGCAAGTACTATCCTCTCTGATATGCCTCTATCTTAGAGTGCATTCATCCGGTATTATGCCTCGCAAGACACGCCACCAAAACACTCTAACTTTGGGGACAACTTTTAGAGGTCATATGGTTTTCCACAATTGTTGATCATCGATTGAAGTTCCTGAAGCCTGCCCTTCATTTAGAGTTGCACGCTCTTTGCGATTCACTAGAGCTCGGTACGCAGTTTTAACAGTGTAGTTACCAGATTTCTCATATGCCCATGCCATGAAGTCCGGACCCCCTCCTTGCCGAAGAGGAATATTTAAGATGGCCTCGGCATCAGGCAAGATAAAAGTATCACGGACTAATTCTTGACGCCATGTTCAGTTTGTCTGATCGATGAGATCACTGACATGCTCCATCGTGGTAGCGGCCGGTTTCAGCAACGGTGTGATAGATAAAGTGGAGGGTATCCATTTGTCCATCCACACGTTAATGCTTGTCCCATCCCCAATCCTCTGAATAATGCCTAGCTGCAGCACATCTCTCCCAGCAACGATAGCTCTCCAAGTTGCTGAAACTGTTTGAGGTACTGTTGCTTGCATAAAATCACAATGTGGAAAATATCTTCCCTTCATAACTCTGACACGTAGAGAATTCAGATTTGTCATGAATCGCCAATCATGCTTTCCCAATAGAACCAGATTGAAAAGATGTAGGTCCCGGAAGCCCGTTCCACCTCTGCATTTTGGTGATACCAATTTCTCCCAAGAAATCGATTGAAGGGCTCTCTTCAATCAGAGTCAGCACCTGTATTTTTTGACCGCATGTATCCGCATCTGTATTTTTAACACAGTACAGACGCAAGCACTCATACATACGTGCATACACCCACCCTTATGAATACACACATGTACATAAATAATACGAGTACCAAGACTTGAACTCTGGTGGGCTGGTGATACCACTGTCCCTCTAAGCATCCAACCACAGATTGACCATATAAGTCATGTATTTTTGTGCCTCAAAAAAAGTTATGTATTTTCTTTTACATACAAAGATCGTATTGAAGTGTCATCTGAATTGGAGGATGATTATGTTACGTGCCAGCGACTTCAAGAATCGAAGCTGTAAGAAACCGCTTGCAACAATCCAGACCGAGTGGTCGGGACGATGTTTTCCCATCCAACGCGGTCTTATATAGGTCTGCTCGGTGGTTTGGACGCCATTTTACGCCTTACCGCTGGCACACACGCGTCTGACAACCTTGACCAACCCAAACCCCTCTTCCTTACCCCGCGCCCTTTCCTGCCCGAAAACAGCTGCCCACATTTATGTCATTCTAGAGCGGGCACTTCACGTTGACGTCAGCCTAGAGCGGGCGCCCCGCATTGACGTCAGCCTAGAGCGGGCGTGACCTCTCGCTGGCGCCGGCATTGAAGCGGCTCGCGGACGGAGGGTGCCGTGTCCCCAATGTCATTCTTGTTCAATGCCGGAAAGACGTTTACTGGACGGGACTGGATTGATATCTACCACGCCCGTCCAATGCTCGTCCCTCCGTCTGCCACTATTAAACAGGCTCACCGACCGAGATACCAACTCTGACGCCCGTGCATTGACGCACCCAGATGCTTGGCCTCGCCGGCATCCACTATTTAAAGGCAATCACACCCGACTCACACCACACCACAACCCATCTGCTCCACATCTTTCTCCTGTGCACCACATCTATCATGACCGCGAGTGGAAATGCTTGGTGGGAGAGCCTCCCGATGGAGCAGAAGCACCAGGTGACCGCCCTTGCGGCCGCGTGGCAGAGCCACGGCGAGTAGAGACTGGCTCCGACGACGACTCTATGTCGTAGCCCATGTCGGTGCATGCCATCTTGACAACTGAGTAGTCACAGGCGCACTTCAATGCCGCCATGGCAGAGTAGTAGCTTGTGCCCTGATACATCCATTTTGCATCATGTTTTCCTACTGTTATTTATAATGTTTTATGCATAATAATACTTTATGGAGTAATTCTAATGCCTTTTCTCTCATAATGGGCGTGCGCTGATGTCTTGTGGGGCCCACAGCTGGCCTCCGGTGCCCATCTTTAGCTATATGATGGCTTTTGACCTAGAAAAAAAATGAAGAGAAGACTTTCGGGACGAAGCGCCGCCATCTCGAGGCGAAACCTGGCAGGAGCACTTTTGCTCTCCAGCGGAGCGATTCCGCCGAGGATACTTCCCTCCGGGAGGGGGAAATTGAAGTCATGGACATCACCAACGGCCCTCTCATCGTGGAAGGACCAATCTTCACCAGCACCATCTCATCTCAAACCCTAGTTCATCTCTTGTATTCAATCTTTATCTCAAAACCTCAGATTTGTACCTGTGGGTTGCTAGTAGTGTTGATTACATCTTGTGGTTGATGCTAGTTGGTTTACTTGGTGGAAGATTAAATGTTCAGATCCTCAAGCATATTCAATACCCCTATGATCTTGAACATAATTATGATTTGTGAGTAGTTACTTTTGTTCTTGAGGACATGGGAGAAGTCTTGTTATAAGTAATCATGTGATGATGGTATTCGTTTGATATTTTGATGATACGTATGTTGTTGCTTCCTTTAGTGGTATCATGTGAACGTCGACTATATAACACTTCACCATACTTGGGCCTAAGGGAAGGAATTGCAGAGTAATAAGTGGATGATGGGTTGCTAGAGTGACAGAAGCTTAAACCCTAGTTTATGCGTTATTCCGTAAGGGGCTGGTTTGGATCCATATTTCATGTTGTGGTTAGATTTATCTTAATTCTTATTTTGTAGTTGCGGATGCTTGCAAGAGGGGGTAATCATAAGTGGGTTGCTTGTTCCAGTAAAAATAGCACCCAAGCACCGGTCCACCCACATATCAAATTATCAAAGTAGCAAACGTGAATCAACTAAACATGATGAACGTGACTAGACGACAGTTCCCATGTGTCCTCAAGAACATTTTGATTTATATAAGAGAACTTGTTGGCTTGTCCTTTGCTATAAAAAGGATCGGGCTACCTTTTTGCCCCTTTGTTACTATTGTTACTTGTTACGAATTATCTTGCTATAAAACTATCTATCACTGCTACTTTCAACACTTGCAGAGAATACCTTGCTAAAAACCGCTTATCATTTCCTTCATCTCCTCGTTGGGTTCGACACTCTTAATTATCGAAAGGACTACGCTTGATCCCCTATACTTGTGTGTCATCATGGATGTAGTTTGAGACAGAACTGCGGCGGGTGTGTCGTACTCATGCAGATGTCGGACATCCGCGTCCATGGGGTGCCGGACTATCATTGCCGGCCAAAACCGACGAACGAACACATGATGCGAGGCATCTCGTCATCGTGGCCATAGATGGGGCAGACTGCCTTAACAACCATGAGGATCTTCCCATGGTCATCTGATCTTATACAATTCAAGAGGATATGATGATCCAATCATGTGTTTTCTCTACTCCTACATTTTGAGAATCCCGCTAATCAAAGAGGCCCTTATATGTCTCTTCGTTTTTGGGCAGGACAAGTCATCACCACAAATAGAATCATTTATCATGATGAAATAATCTTTGAATTGTATGGATTTTGCTTCATGCAAACATCTCTTACCCTATCCCTCGATATAGTTCTTTTTTACATGTTTAATCTACTTTAAAACTTGGTATTATGTAAGGGCATCTATAACACAACAAATTCCCTAACCAACTACATCTTTGGGTTAGGCAGAACGAATGCTTGCAATGTGAGAGTGATGGTAAGGGGTGGGTTCCCTCCCTACTAAAGAACAATAAGAAATAAACATATCATGGACGAAAAGCAATGCTAGGTTGGGACAGAGGTACATGGCAACTATCTGGTTTTAGGAATAAATTGGAACAAAGAGTATAGTCTTGTTTTGTTTCTCTGAACAAATTAATAGCTCTGCTTCCAAGGGTGAGCCATATTTACCGAGGTACATAAAGGTTTCATGAACACTTGACTCGAAAAAAATCCAAGTAACTTAATTTGCCATATTATTAGGGATCCTTTGGTTCAAAGGAAAAGTGGAGGAAAGTTGTAGAAATAGGAAAATTTCCTATGGTGATACTATTCATGCCTTTAGTTCAAAGGAATGGGGCAAAGGAATAGTGAAGGAAAATTTCCTTTGATCCTAGTGAAGGAAATATGCCCTAGAGGCAATAATAAAGTTGTTATTTATATTTCCTTATATCATGATAAATGTTTATTATTCATGCTAGAATTGTATTAACCGGAAACTTAGTACATGTGTGAATACATAGACAAACAGAGTGTCACTAGTATGCCTCTACTTGACTAGCTAGTTGAATCAATGATGGTTACGTTTTCCTAACCATAGACATGAGTTGTCATTTGATTAACGGGATCACATCATTAGAAAATGATGTGATTGACTTGACCCATCCGTTAGCTTAGCACGATGATCGTTTAGTTTGTTGCTATTGCTTTCTCCATAACTTATACATGTTCCTATGACTATGAGATCATGCAACTCCCGAATACCGGAGGAACACTTAGTGTGCTATCAAACGTCACAACATAATTGGGTGACTATAAAGATGCTCTACATGTGTCTACAATGGTGTTTGTTGAGTTGCCATAGATCGAGATTAGGATTTGTCACTCCGAGTATCAGAGAGGTATCTCTGGGCCCTCTCGGTAATGCACATCACTATAAGCCTTGCAAGCAATGTGACTAATGAGTTAGTTACGGGATGATGCATTACGGAACGAGTAAAGAGACTTACCGGTAACGAGATTGAACTAGGTATTGAGATACCGATGATCGAATCTCGGGCAAGTAACATACGGATGACAAAGGGAACAACGTATATCGTTATGTGGATTGACCAATAAAGATCTTCGTAGAATATGTGGGAGCCAATATGAACATCCAGGTTCCACTATTGGTTATTGACCGGAGACGTGTCTCGATCATGTCTACATAGTCTCGAACCCGTAGGGTCCGCACGCTTAACGTTCGGTGACGATCGGTATTATGAGTTTATGTTTTTTGATGTACGGAAGGTAGTTCGGAGTCCCGGATATGATCACGGACATGACGGGGAGTCTCGAAATGGTCGAGACGTAAAGATTGATATATTGGAAGCCTATGTTTGGACATCGGAATGGTTCCGGGTGAGTTCGGGCATATACCGGAGTACCGGGGGGTTACCGGAACCCCCCTAATGGGCTTTAGTGGAGAGAAAGAGAGAGGCAGCTAGGGCAGGCCACGCGCCCCCTCCCCCCTCTGGTCCGAATTGGACTAGGAATGGGGGGGCAGTGCCCCCCTTTCCTTCCTTCCTCTCCCCCCTTCCTTCTCTCCTAGTCCAACTAGGGAAGGGGGGATCCTACTCCCAGAGGGAGTAGGACTCCTCCAGGACGCGCCATAGAGGTCGGCCCTCCCCCCTCCTCCACTCCTTTATATACGGGGGAGGGGGCACCCCATCAACACACAAGTTGATCATTGATCTCTTTGCCGTGTTCGGTGCCCCCCTCCACCATAATCTACCTCGGTCATATCGTTGTAGTGCTTAGGCGAAGCTCTGCGCTGGTAGCTTCATCATCACCGTCATCACGCCGTCACGCTGATGAAGCTCTCCCTCAACACTCGGCTGGATCAAGAGTTCGTGGGATGTCGCTGAGCCGAACGTGTGTAGATCGCGGAGGTGTCGTACTTTCGGTGCTAGGATCGGTTAGATCGTGAAGACGTTCGACTACATCAACCACGTAGTCATAACGCTTCCGCTTACGGTCTACGAGGGTACATGGACAACACTCTTCTCTCTCGCTGCTATGCATCACCATGATAGATCTTGCGTGTGCGTAGGATTTTTTTTTGAAATTACTGTGTTCCCCAACAGTGGCATCCGAGCCAGGTCTATGCGTAGATGTTATATGCACAAGTAGAACACAAAGGAGTTGTGGGCGTGGGTATATACATATTGCTTGCCGTCACTAGTTGTTTCTTGATTCGGCGGTATTGTTGGATGAAGTGGCCCAGACCGACATTACGCGTACGCTTACGCGAGACTGGTTCTCCCGACGTGCTTCGCACACAGGTGGCTGGTGGGTGTCAGTTTCTCCAACTTTAGTTGAATCGGATTCAATGAACATGGTTCTTTCTGAAGATCAAAAAGCAATCACTATACCACGTTGTGGTTTTTGATGCATAGGTAAGAACGGTTCTTGCTCAGCCCGTAGCAGCCACGTAAAACTTGCAACAACAAAGTAGAGGACGTCTAACTTGTTTTTGCAGGGCATGTTGTGATGTGATATGGTCAAGACATGATGCTAAATTTTATTGTATGAGATGATCATGTTTTTAACAAAGTTATCGGCAACTGGCAGGAGCCATATGGTTGTCGCTTTATTGTATGAAATGCAATCGCCATGTAATTGCTTTACTCTATCACTAAGCGGTAGCGATAGTCATAGAAGCAATAGTTGGCGAAACGACAACGATGCTTTGATGGAGATCAGGGTGTCAAGCCGGTGACGACGGTGATCATGACGGTGCTTTGGAGATGGAGATCAAAGGCACAAGATGATGATGATGGCCATATCATATCACTTATATTGATTGCATGTGATGTTTATCCTTTATGCATCTTATTTTTCTTAGTTCGGCGGTAGCATTATAAGATGATCTCTCACTAAATTTCAAGGTATAAGTGTTCTCCCTGAGTATGCACCGTTGCTACAGTTCGTCGTGCCGAGACACCACGTGATGATCGGCTGTGATAAGCTCTATGTTCACATACAACGGGTGCAAGCCAGTTTTGCACACGCAGAATACTTGGGTTAAACTTGACGAGCCTAGCATATACAGATGTGGCCTCGGAACGCTGAGACCGAAAGGTCGAGCGTGAATCATAT